GAACAAAATATGATAAATAATAGTGAAGTAATATTAACCAAGATGATATTCTACCAGGAGTGATTTGCAGAGGGTTCGATTGCTATCTCCTTATCCAAATATCATTTAATATTTAAATGGCTCTTTTTTCACTCCAGAAAGTACCTCTTTTGTCTTTTCACAGCTGTCCCTTCTGCTAGAGTGGTCCTTTCCATTTGGTGAATTACTCGGCCTTCAACATCCAGCCTAAATCAATGCTGTATCTTCTACAAAGCCACCTTTTGTTTGCCTCTTTCCAGTTTTCACCTCCTGAGTCAGCAGAATTGCTGATTCCCTCTTTCTAGCTCAATCTCTGGCCAACTGCATTGCAATGTTTTATTTAAGTGTCCAGTTCTCTCACTAGTGTGAGAGTTCCCTGAGGGCAGGGAAAATGTCTTAATGATCTTCAGGTCCTCAAAGTTAGGCCATGACTACCACACAGCAGGCTCAAAGAATGATGAATCCTATTATGTTAGACTATAAGAAATTGCCACTTTTATAGGACCCAAGTGATCAAATACCAGCAATTTCTTATGATTTGACCTATTAGAAAGTATTTTCTCTGTCTTCCTCCATGCAGCTTAAAGTATTTTATAAGCATTGTATAATGAATCCCAAAGAAATTCCTACAGGATAGTGTGAGAAATCACAATCGTCATTTTCAAGATCGTTCAGGATGTTAGTGACAGAAGTGGAGTGGAATCAGATCTTCTTGCAGTCATATCCCTCATCCTGGTATCCACAGAACTTCATAAAATTCTAGAGTAGAAGTAAATTCAAAGGGTCACCTGCTTGGCAGTTCCTGGCAGCAGGACACATAAATCATCCTTAAGTGGTTTTCCTTCTTTCTTATCATTTTTCCTAAGTCGAAGATGATATGCTCTCACAATAATAATTTAATTTTTCTCACTCACACCCTCCCCAGGCAGCCCATTTCTAACCCATCTCTCTCTTGCTGCAATATGTCAATTTCTGGCTTTATGGAGATAAAGCAGCTGCAGTGTACCCAGTTTATAATAACCCTCCTACTACTTAGCCACTTGTTCTCCTCTCAGTTTTATCTTACTCCTGGTAAAACTCCCTTCTCTTCTAAACTCTCTTCATATTTCCTTCACATCATTTTAATCAAAAGATTTCAAGATCTTCTAACACAACATTTCCCAGTTTCATTAGACAGCATTAAAAATGGAGCACCCATTAACATCTTGCTGACATTCAGTGGAATGAAATTTGGGAAACAGGGCTCTGTGATGGTTATACATTCCCTTTTAAAGAGTAAGATAAAAGCTGGTCGCCATATCCTCGTAAGGGCATCACTTGTGCCATCCACAGTATGAAGATGACTTTCCAGCCTTTGCAAAATCATATTCCCATTTACATATTCATGATTGCAATTGTCTCTTTAACCACAGACGCACAATGCCACCTCATACTTAGAACATACTTGTGCTTTTATAATCTTGAATAATAATTGAGCTTTTATTGCCTGTCTTGCATAATAATTGAGTCTGGGTTTTATTTACTGTGTATGCTATCTTGATTGAGTTCCCACAGTCATCCAATTGTTCCTCTAATTTTTTCTCATCACTTTAAACTCTCCTTGTGAAGTCTTAGTGGCCACCCCCACCCTGACACCCCCATTTCTCTACCCCTCAGCACTGGTGTTTCCTGCAGACTATATTAGTCTACATTAAATTATACCACCTTCAATGTTATTTTAATTTTAAATATTAAGCAGCTGGGGTGGGAAGTTTCCTGAAAAATTTTGGCAGCCATGTTTAACCCCATCAGTTCCTTGTGTCAAGAAGTAACTCATACATTTGTAGATCATTAACAATAGAGGTGTTAGGTGATCAAAAATATAAAGGAATAATGAAGGATTAGATGTCATGGAAATCATCACAAGAAAGATGTTAAGTTTGGACTTTATCTGTGGTATGAAAGATTAGAAAGATTAAGGTGTTTAGGGACCAGCAGTTGGTGTAATGGCTATGTCGCTGGTTTCCCATGTAGTTGACCATGGTTTGAGTCCTGGACCTGATGGCTTAATCTCAAACTGGGCATATGTGTGCCCAAAATTCCAAGAGTAGAATGGAGAAGAAGGGATTGTGGCATGGCCATCCCCCCTGAGGTGTGATTTCTCATTTTTTGTCTTTCTGGCAAGCACACGTGCCCTATAGCAAAAACCTGTTCAAAAAAAAAAAAAAAAGAAGGATTAAAGTGTTTAAAAAGAATGAACAAGTGATAAGATGAAGCAGAGAGGCAATAGCAGGTGCAAATACCATTCATCTCTATTGTCCATATGACTGGCCAGACAATTGGCACATTAATCAGGTACAGAATCTATCATTCCATATCATTATTAACTGTATGTGATGATGACAGCCTCTTTATTTTTTTACAACAATGATGGCAAGAATCATAATGTCTTTGTGTAACCAGTAATTTTAAGAGTCCATGGCCTATGGTATATGCTCAGTAAGTATACATTTAATTTTTTTTAAATTGGTGTGAGTGAAAAAAGTAAGTGAATATGGAAAATGGTGAGTGAATTCAGATTACAGAGGCCTCTGGAAGGCCACTATGCAATCTCAGCTTCACTAGGTGGGAGCCAATTGAAATCTGGCATGGGAATGATAAGATAATGTGGTATTATATGAGGAATATACCTCTAAACAGTGTTCAGAATGAATAAAGGAGAGGAAAAGGTAAATTGGAGGAACAAAAGGAGTTATTATCTAATCCTCTACCTATCAGTATCTCTTACCTTTCCATCTCATTCACAATTCTAGAAACATCTTAGGCTTTTTATTATCATCATGCCCCATTCACTGCTCAGTTTGTCCTAACCTCTCTTCTATTCCTTCTTTGCACTATTTAACTACTCAACATCTCTGCAGTGCTTAATGTCATTAACATTTAATCCTTTAAAAATAGCTCTTTTATTACGTAATTATTGTAACAAACTTAAACAATACTTAAAATGCAAAGAAGAAAGTAAAACTTACCGAAATCTCCTCTTTCAGAGTTAATCACCATGAACACTGGTGAACATTCTCCCAGTTTCTCTCTAGCCTATGCATACACATGCAAGCAGATGGCTATGTGTACAGAGATTTACATAAATCGAACCCTGTAATACTCATTTTTTTCAGTAATTTGCATTGCTTTTTTAGAACAGTAAACATAAACCTCAGTAAGGATAAACCTGTGAAACACTTGGTAAAGGCATAGTATTCCAGTGCCTCTGTGATTCTGTACCACTATGTGTAAGTTCCCTAGAAGATGAATATTAAAGTTTGTTTCCAGTTCTTATTACCATAAACAATGCTGCAGTAACATTTCTTTGCATTTATCTTCTTGCTATTTTACTATTCTCTTATTACACCATTCCTTCACAAAATTCTTGTTGTTTATTATACATTCTTTTTTAAATCTTATTTTTTTTCCATGAGAGAACCAGAGAGACAACACCATGATGTCCATTCCAGTCCAGATCATGGGCACATGTGTGCACACCTGGCATGCACAGAGAAGCCTCAGGACCTGAACCAGAGACCCTCCCTAGTGAGTTCAACATCGCAGATCTGTGCCACTAGATCCATCTCTTTTATCCATTGGCTCTCATCTCTCCTGATTCTCACACACTCTCTGGTGTTATTTTATCAGACATCTACATGGACTATTTTCCTTACTTAAGTTTTAAACATTCACGTATAACTGTGCTTTATCCTTGGCTCACTCTTGTCCCTATTTGCATCCCTTTCCCAACCAATCTAATCTACTCTCATAGAGGGTTGTTGGAAAAGTCATGATTTTTTTTTTTTTTTTGGAGAGCTTTTTGCTATAGGGCACGTACGCTCGCCAGACAGACAGAGAGAGACAGAGAGACAGAAAGTGAGAAATCACCCCCCGGGGGGGATGGCCACGCTGCAATCCCTTCTCCTCCATTCTCCTCTCGGGATCTTGGGCACGCACGCACACGCGCCCGGCGTGAGTTTTAAGCCACCAGGTCCGGGACGCGAAATGCAGTCAACTACATGGGAGTCCAGTGACATAGCCATTATGCGAACTGCTGGTCCCAGTCATGATGTATTTTTGCATAGAAAAATACATCATGACTTTTGACGGCCCAGTAGTTCAGCAGTCATGTCCAGACGGACAACTACACATTTTGGACCTCTATCATGGACACCTTTCCTGAAATGTAACTAGATTTCTGTTGGTTGTCACACTCAGACATACCAGTAACTACCCCAATTCTTGTACATTTGGCCATTTAGAGCCTTCATACTAAAGTTTGGGATTCTTTTCTTACTCCTTCCTCTCTCATCACTCTATGTATTATCAGTCATCAAGTCTGAATCTACCTCTTAAACATTTCATGAAATCTCTTAAGCTATTTCTCAGGAAGCTACTAGAGGATGTTTTGTACCAAAACAGGAGAGTTAACCTAAGAAAGAAAGGGATGGTGACCACGATGCAGGGTTCCAAAAGAGGATGGAGGAATGAGGGAATTCCTAGGATGCTGGGGCTCTCTTCCAAGAGACAATAGCTGCTCAACCACCAGGCCATAACCCATCCAAGGTAGCAAAGGACAATGGAGGACTCTTGGAAGGATGATGTCAAAAAGAAATTGAAACTAATAGCTGCTAGAATGTGCTTGAGCACACTGGCAATTTGGCAAAAGTTTGGGGGTAAATTAGTGGCTGTTTCACAAAAAAAGTTTAAAAGTGTGTGCATGTGTGTGTTTGTGTGTACATAAAGAGAAATGCAATCTCTCTAGTTGACATGATTCAATTCCATTAATAATTACCTAACCGCAATATTGTCAAAAATGAAAATTAATTTAATTGAAAATGTGGTTATAACTATATCAGAAAAAGGGAATAAAAAATGTTTTGTGTATGTGTGTGTGTGGTGGGGTTGGAGGGGATGGGAGACAGGATTCCTAAGAGCTTAATCTTCATCTTCCATTTTAGGATATACTGTGGTTTCAATGTGTCCTCCCAAAATCCATATAATGAAATTTGGTTTTGAGAAGACTATGAAGTTGAAAATTAATCCAACTGTGGAATTAAGAGGTGGAGCCCTCAGGAGGTGATTAGGATTGTGAAATCTTTTAAGAAGCAAAATGGAGCCATTTGTGAGAACTTTGAACCACATTGGGGAAAATCATGGAAGAGGTGTTTTCTTATGCTTAGCATTCCTAATAACAAGAACTGTCACAAGGACTCTGCCAGATCTACAACCTTGAGCAAAGACTATTGCAAATTGACACAGAGACTACTTATTCAAGGACATCTGCCCAAAGAGTGCTTGTCCATACTTGGACTGACTCCACCCTTTTTATTGATCCTGGTAGCCAAGGATAACTGTCCAAAACAACAGTCATCATCCACTCTACCTCCTTCTTTCCTACTTGTGGGTTTTTGCCTTTTAAATCTGCTTAAGGATTATAAGACCTCATTGAGTATGGTTGGGGCTACCTGAATATGTTCATCTACATTGCTTGGCACATATGGTCCTTATTCTCATGCCAAAATAAACTACTTCTGCTTTGACTCAGTTTATGTTTTTAGGGTGACAGGATTAAGATCTTCAAGGTAGTTCACTGATTCCTGACAAAAGGGGAAGAGATGCAAACACTCTCGCCTCTCACCATGGGATGCCTTGTGTCTTCTTGGGACTCTGCACAATCTCTACCCACAGAAAAATCCTCACCAGATGCAGTTCCCTGTTCTTGGACCTCTAAAACCATAAGCTAAATACATCTCTATTCTTTTTAAATTGTACAGACTTGGGTATTTCTATTATTAGCAACACAACAGAGTAAAACAGAGATGAGCATATAAGATCTAATGATTAAAATAAGCAAGCACACAAGAACCAACATGTACAGAAAACAACAAGAGGTTCAACTGGGGTTGTCTCAAAAAAAAAAAAAAAAAGAGAGAAGAGTGGGAAGAGATGGGACAGAGAACTTCTGTTTTCCATTATAAACTCAGTAGTAAAATTTATCTTCTTTTTTTAGAGATTTTTTTCCATAGGGCATGTGCACTCACTGGAAAGAGACAGAGAGAGGCAGTGAGAGGGAAACTGCGAAATCATCCCCTGGGGGAATGACCATTCTGCAATCCCCTCTCCTTCATTCTTCTGGGATTTTGGACAAGCACACATATATGCCTGATGGGATTTTCAAGTCACCGGTTCTGGGACTCAAACCTTATTTGGCCATGTAGAAGCCCTGCATCTTAACCACCATGCCACCTGGTGGCCTCACAATTTACCTTCTTAAAATATTGCATATATATGTCCATTACTCTGATTTAATTTTTTAAAAAGTTGGGAAGAATCCAAATATTAATCAATCAATAAATAGGCAAACAAAAAATATTTCCTTCATACAGTAGATTATAGATCACTTTTTAAAATAAGGTAGCTCTGGGGTCAGCAGGTGGCATAGTGGTTAAGGAGCTGGACTTCCACATAGTGAATTGCAGTTTGAGTACTGGACCCAATGACTTGAAACTCATGCTGGGTAAATGTGCATGCATGCCCAAAATCCTGAGAGGAGAATGGAGGAAAGGGGATCCTGGTGTGGCCATGCCCACTGAGGGGGTGATTTCTTGCTTTCTGTCTCTCCATTTCTCTCTATCTCTCTGGTGAGCACATGTGCCCTATAGCAAAATCTTTCAGTAAATAAATAAATAAAAGTAAAAATAAGGTAGCTCTATGAAAAAAGTGATATTATAAAATGCCTAACGTACATTAAAAATGAAAAAAGAAGTTGTAAAAATGTATTATATTATCTGATTTTTCTCACCATCTCAACATGAATAAATCATTTTCTGAATGAAACAAATTAGAGGAATAGTAATCAAACCGTGATTAGAGGGGGAGAAATTGTGTTATGCATGATGAATTTTAGTAATGTGTGAATTTTTGTTTTTTGGAGAGGTTTTTGCCATACGGTGCGTGCACTCGCCAGACAGACAGAGAGAGACAGAGAGACAGAAAGCCAGAAATCACCCCCCAGGGGGGATGGCCACGCTGCAATCCCTTCTCCTCCATTCTCCTCTCAGGATCTTGGGCATGCATGCACACACGCCCAGCGTGAGTTTTTTTTCTTTTTTTTCTTTTTTTTTTTTTTTTGGAGAGGTTTTCGCTATAGGGCGCGTGCGCTTGCCAGACAGAGAGACATAGAGACAGAAAGCGAGAAATCACCCCCCGGGGGGATGGTCATGCCGCAATCCCTTCTCCTCCAC